ATATATTTTTTTTCAAATACATGGCGAGATACAATGCATTTGGTATCATGACTTTGGAAAAGAGTTTCAATATTTGGTAATTTTATTGGAGGTAGAAATGACTCCTAATAGTATTACAAATTTTTTATTTGAAGGAAGTTATGAAGGTCTTAACAATTATCAAATAAAAAGATGGAATTTCTACCTTAAAATGGAATATTATCAATAGCTGAAAGGACCTATCAATTACTTTAAAAAAACAAAAAAAAAAAAAAAAAAAAAAAAAAAATCAAATTATGTAGCAAATATAATTTGCTGCATCTTAGACTTTCTTAACATGTGATTGCCATTCCTCGTAGAACTCATTCTTACAAAAAGGGAGTAATGTCATTGACATATATTTATTGTAATTATTATCTATGTAATATAAATAAGTAAAAATAGATTTATTTCATGATATCTTCTAAGAAAGTTTTTAGAAGCTTCATAGATGCTACTTTGACTTTACATATATTTTTAATTAATTGATAGGTTATAAATTTAGTCAATAAGTTAACCACAAGTCATACATATTGATAACTTGCAAAACAAACAAACTATGTAGTGTCCATATGGAAAACTTATCTTTATAAATTAAAATATATATTGTACAAAGTTAACACATTTTGGAGGTCCTATAGAATATTTCTATGTAGATTTTACGTAGATAGTATATATATAGGCAAGAGTGAAGCTTTCTTCACTCTTATTAATTTATGTCTTGCTTCTAGTTTAGTTTTAAGAATCTCTAGTTTTCTTATCTTTTGGCATTCTAGTTTTTTTTTAATATATATACTTTTTTATTTCTATTTTTTCATAAGTCTTTGAAAAAGTCTCATTTTTTTATTTTCTTTCATCAAGTTCTTATCCTTGATAAGATTCTTCTTTGTTTATACCATTTGTAGCTTTTTAATATGATCTGATTATTATTGTGATATAATTTAGAGTTTTTAAGTCTAAGCATCTATTGATATAATAAAAAGCTATTAATGGTTATAAAAATCTATTTTAATATATTAAAAAAAGAATTAAGTATTCTATTGATACAAAAAGATTCTATTATTATCTTTAATAAGTACCAGTATTAGTCAAAGATAGCTAAGCTACATACTCATTATACATATTCTTGATGCAAAGCTCTATATAATAGCATATGCCAAACAAATAATTTTTTTTTTAATTGAAGATATTTCTTGATTGAGTAGTGTGTCTTTAGTTGTAAAAGTCACAAAGTTACATAAGTAATATATTTTATTTATCTAAGCAAAAATCCATGTTTTTTTTTTGTATATACAATTTTCTTGAAAAAATTTATCATTCTAGATCACTATAAAAATCTTCTACTTTGATTAAAAATCTTCTTTATATGGAATATATATTATAAAATGCAAGCTTTGCAAAAATTGTTGCCATTGCTTATTTGCAAAGTCTTGTTTATAATTTTTAATGATTTTCTTGTGAATATGCCAAAGACATAGAAAAATAGTAGTAGATAAATAGATGTCTTTGGTTACATTAGTTAGAGCTAATTTTCAATCTACAATAAAGATGTTTGATAAAAGTATCTTAATAAATAATTATTTGATCCATTTCATTAGAATTTAGTAAGATCTAACTTCTTTCGAAGCTATAAAGATAAGTACTATTGTAAAAGAATTGTTGAAAGTTATGTGCCTAATATGATGCAAGCACAGAATTTAATATTTATTGATCTTATATGTCGCATCAATTAACAATAATTTCTGATTCATACAAATAAGATTGATTGAAATAAGATGAACAAAGAAATGATTGGTCATTGATCCTATATTTTTTGTTTTATATGTTATCCAATAGTCTTGGCAAGTAAAGTCATTAAGTAAGGCTTCAAGTAATATATGTCTATTGAAAAATGTCTTTGTAAGCCTTTAACATATAATATAGATTTTCTTTTGTAATATATCAAATCTTCCATTATATTTGTACATTATTGTCAAGACCTCATACATGAAAATATTTATAAGTAGCAAATTGTTAGCACATGCACTCTTAATTGCTATTAGCTTCTTATATACAATATGCTTGATAGGAATAGATGATGGTTCATGGTTGTGCTTAAGATAAGTAACCTTAAAGTACTAACAATTCTTTCTATTAATTATTCAAGCAACAATCTAAAATTGATAATCATTTCTATAAATTGATTTTTTTTCATTTTGCAAAGGCTCAAAAATATTGTTTCTATAGAAATTGTTGTAGTCACAATACTATGACATGTGACAACCTTTCTTTGAGTACTTAATTACAATAGCATAGTTACAATATGCTTTGTAGATCTCAATATCTTTCAGCAATTCTTCTTATGAGTTGTATATTTTTTCTAAATCTTACAGAAGAAGACTCTCTAGTCATGTAGCATAAGATCACTTAAGATAATCATTTGAAGAAGAGATTATGTATATATACATAAGTGAGAGATAGAGAGAGAAAAAAAAAATAGATAGAGAGAATAAAAAAAGGAATTTTCTTAGTAAGAATAGAACTCACTTAGCATATGAACTAGCATAATATTTGCATTTATTATTCAAAATTTTATGTATTGAAATTTGGCTTATTTGTTTTTAAAAAATATTTGCAAAGAACATCATCCATTGTTGCACAAGTTCAATTTTCAAAGTACTTTAATAAAAAAATAAATGATATTTTTTCTTATTTAGATAGATTAAAGGTTGAATATCATCTTCTTGAAAGTGATCATGTGATAATAAAGCTTATATGTATATCCACACCAATACTAAAGTAAATCAATGATTAGATTTGCTAAAGCTGTACTAAGTGATGTACTCTTATTAATATTCATAATATTTGTTGGTCAAAAGTATAGAGCCATGTTGACATATTTCAATACCTAGAATCAAAGCCTTTAATCTATATTTGACCTCAACTCAAATATAAGCAATTGACATGAGCTCACATAAAAGTTTTGAAGTAACAATTTGATTTATATTTGCAAATTAGACAAATATGTAGGCACTAACTTATAATTACTATAAATATAATTGATTTCTTTAAATAAAGGCTCTAATAGAACCAAATCTAAATACAAAACAATCCTTTCAAAATTTGTGTCAACTTGTTCATCATCTTAGAATTTGAATTCTATTTAATAAAATCAGATATCTTAACAATTTGATGTACTTAAAAAAAAAATAAGTAATTCGACATTGAAGAATACATCATTTTTATTAGAAAATAAAGATAATGCATATACAAGAAGAAGATGCATTTAATGCTCTTAAGTATAATGCCTTAAAAGCATTGTAGAAACAAAACAAACCATTGACTTTAAACATAATACAAGTGATGATATTGTACATTGATGAACAACAATAAGCAAGATAAATTTTATTTTTTTTATTTTTTAGTTTTTATTTATTTTAAACTCTACTTCTAAATCTCATTACAATGGGCATTTTTCACTTTGATCCCACTTGTTGATTAATCATTAGGACTTTAATAAGGGGGTAATATGCTTCCCTTGACCTCTCTATAATTGTAATAGGTGTCTAGGTCTACACAACAACAATCAGCCAATCAAAGGCCTTTATTTGTTTTGGGCATGCTTATAGGAATATAGACTATGTTTATAACAACTTAGGATGTATTTGTAACCTAACCCATATATAAAAGATAGATGTTATATTTTTGTATAATATATCTATAATAAAATATTATAAAAAATATTTAATATTATTTCTAATATAATGTGTTTTCTTTTAAATTTTATGAAATGTTATGAATATATATATATATACTTATACTCATACTTATTTATTAATTTAAATATGTATATTACATCAATGTTATATCCAAATTCTTCAAACGTAGGACATTTCAACTTAATCTAAGATATTATTCTTAAATCAAGCCCTTCTAATGTATGACAACTTACTTAATTTATAACAGTAATTCCAAATTGCCCATCATGTGCAACTCTAGCATCCATAAGAATTTAAGTCTTTTTTATGTTGTTTATTGGTGTCACGTATTAGAAAAATTGTGTCCTATGTTGCCTAATATAAGATAAATAGGACAATGTCCTAAATTAAAGGAAACTAATTATATCCATATTATATTCATTATTATAATTATTAAACTTTTATTTTGATTAAATGTAAATATGTTTCAGTAATATTCTGTGATTTAGATAAATACTAAAATCATTCACAAGAAAGAATAGCCTCAGATTATCATAGAAAATTAGTACAGTAAAGTATGTAATAACAATGTGCTAGTTACTTTGGAAAAGATAAATTTTAGGTTTATTCAGAACGTATCAAAGCTTCAATTGCAATTTTAACACCAAAATGTTATCCTGGAAATTTATATTTTCATTATTCTAATTGTAATAGACTATTACATATTTAAAATTTAGACCTCCATTACCCTTGAAATAATTTGGTCCTCAAGTTATATATCTTCTCATGTGTTATTATTATTATTATATTTCTAAACAACAAGGCTTTCTCATGTTTGCACAAAAACTTTTGTGAAAAATTCCTGTAATAAATGTAATGACACTGAATCATAAATTTCATGTTGGAATTTCACAGCAACTTATGTAGAATGCACCATCTTCTCCTTTTTTATATTAAAAATATTTATTTCTAAATACATGATATGAATAATGAAAAAATATATATATATATATATATATATATATGAATCTAGAAGCAACAAGGCGTTGAAAATGATTCCAATACAGCAACGGGTTTAGGGTGTTCGCTGACCCAAAGATACCTGAATCGCATTCATAGATTTCAAGCCAAAACATCTATGTATGTCTAGATAGAAAGCGAGGTGCGCGGGAACGGAAGACAGACATGAGAGAGACGGAGATCGACGAATGAATGTAAAAAGAGAAGCGCCGGGGTCCAATCAGGAACAGGATAATTTCCTGCTCATCCGTATCATTATCGATCCTCAGGACCAACAAGCTCGCCATGGCTGGCCATGCCATGCCAGCCTTCGCAACCAAAACCCTGCTCTCTCTCCAATCTCCTCTTCGGAGATTACTCCGAGTGCACTTATCCAGTCGCAGCTGCGCTTCGATTGCCGCTGCGCTTTCTGTTTACATGTTAGTTAAGGAATTAGCTTGGAGGAGGGACTCGCTCGCTGTAGAGGAATTTGAGTGAGAGTTCGAAGGAGGTGGCGAGGTTTGTTGAATTTTGGTGGTGGAATGGTGTAGAGTTGTGTTGGAAATTGTTGTAGAACTGGGAGGTGGATTCGTCGGAGAGACCCTCGGGCGCGCAATGGCGACGACGCGGTCGCATGGAGTAGTTGCGACGGCGTCAGCGGTGTGCGTGGGAGTGGACGCTGCGGCGTCGACGAGTGGGAGACGAGTCGGGGTAAGGAGTGGTAAGAAGCAGTGTGCGCCGACGTTGGCGTCGCGGAGAAGCATTGCGCCGGGCGTTTTTAGACCCGGTGGTAGAATTGGCGGTTTCAAGGAGCAGCGGCAACCGGCCGTTGGTGTGAGGGCGGCTGAAGATAATTCAATTTTGAAGAAAGGGACGCAGTTTTTCACGCGTAGAGGGCGTAAGGACGATGCGGGAAATGATGAGGCTTCCCCATCCGGGACGCAGTTCTTTACTGGTCTTGGAGGATGGGGGAAGAAACCGAAGGCAGATGTCGACAGCGAACCTGCTCGGGGTGGAACTCAGTTCTTCAGTGGAATTGGTGGATGGGGGAAGAAACAAGCGGAGGATCAAATGGAAGAAGATGAAGAGTCAAGCGAGCAGCCTGCGTCGTTTGGCACGCAGCGGCTGAGATTCGGTACAAAACGAGGTTCTGTAGATAATGCAAATGGAGCGGGAACCATGAGAGGAGGAGCATTGGTGAAAAAGGAGAACACTGCTTTGGATGTATTGCCATTTGGAAGAGGACGCAGGTCTGACCCGAAAACTGTGTTTATTGCCGGTGCCACTGGACAGATCGGAGCCCGCATTTCTCAGCAGCTCCTTCGCGCTGGGTTCAATATCCGAGGTGGAGTTCGGGAACTTTACTTTGCGCAACAGCTTGCAGAATTCGCCACTCAATATGGGGTTAGCTCCTTGACACATCATCCTACTTTAACATAAGCTCATACATTTAATTGTAAGGAGGTTTATTTGGAAACAACCATATATTGCTATGTAATTGTTTCAACCTCGCATCTGGTACGAGACATTTTCTACAGTCAGGAATTGGATTATCGTAATTTTATTTTAGACAACCATTATCATATACAGCTGCTTTGTAAGCGTGGCTTTACTTGCAAATGCCTGTTGAAATACAATTAGGAGAATGCAATTTGCTGCGACGAAATTGTCTACTATTCATATTACGATCTTTACTCCACATCAACATCTCGTTGCAATAGAGTTTTCACGGTTGTCAGAAACTATAGCCTTTTGCGTGAAGACATATCTGTAGTTTAGGATGGTCATATCAAGTGAAGTTTGATGTTAGCAGTAACTAGTTATGTTGCCGATTGATCCTACTTCTTACATGTGGAAGTTCTTGGACTTTGCCGTGCCCTCTGTATTTGAAGTTTCGCAACGTGCCAATGTGTTAAGAAGATTGAAAATTTCACATATGATGCGGTACTGTGAGAGGTCACGTGACTTATGCTTTTTTGACATCTTTCGTCCTTTTCAAAGATAGTATTTTGTTCTCCGAGTTTTTGCTTTGATCTCTTGGATACCAATCTCTGCCTTCCTAGATATGGGTTATTCTAATCGCGAAATACTGATCGGTTGATGCAGGTTATTTCCAGGGAGGAAGCAAAGCGAATGAACGCAGTGGAGTTTGACTTCAAGGATGTGGCCTCTATACTCAAAGCCATTGGAAACGCGTCCAAGGTTGTTGTGACCGTTGGACCGGTTGAAGATGGTCCTCGAAGCGAGGTATCAGTTGATGATGCCCTTCGAGTCCTTGAAGCAGCGCAGATTGCAAATGTTAGCCATTTTGTGGCTGTATATGAGTCAGGAGCCGGAACTGCTGCTGATGGACCTTTGGCAGGTATTTCATCTTTCTTCAGCAATCTGTTCAGCGGAGGGGCAGGTGGTGCGAAGGACGACGCCCATCTTCTGGACAGTCTGGTGGAAACGGACATGAAATACACGTTTATTCGATCTCCATCGACAGAAGGTGTGGATGACTACTCTCCAAGTACCTCCAATCTTGTAATTGCTGGTGAAGGAGCTTCTGATGCAAGTGGCAAGGTGAAAAACGCGCTCTTCATAAAAATACTCATCACTGCCTAAACCTAGATTTTGAGCGGTGTACTGGTGTTCGGGTTTTTGGGTTCTCAACTGACTCGATCACAGGGATTAAATGAATGCTTCACAGTTCTGGTATCCTTAACAAAAACATGCATTGAGGTTTATCAGTCTGCCGTGGTTGTTGCAGGTCTCCAAAATTCAAGTCGCCTCTGTGGTCGCGGCTGCGTTGTCACATACAACTGTATCTGAAAACAAGGTAGTTTTTACAGAACTTTCTTTCGCAACATTGTTTAGAAGCGTCAACTCGATGACTTGTCTTTCCTTAACATTTAGAACCTAGAGGTTGCTGAAGTTTTAGAATACATAAGTACTCAAACTGGTATTAGTGTTGGATTTTTCTAATTTAATTGCTCACTGAAGTAATGCAGATTTTTCTCCAAGAAGTATGGTGTTGTCATTGATTGATAATAGTGTGGGACTACAGGTTTTAGTGGTTGCGTCAGATCCGTACGCTCCTCCAATTATACCTGAAGAAGCCTTGAGGTCAATCGGTTTCTGCCGTTTCTGTCTCTCCGGATCACACGTCTTGTATTATTTTTCTTTTCTAATTTGACATTTAATTGGATAGTTATTATCGAAGTTGATGCGTGGATTCTAAAATGTAGAATAGAACATAGCCAATTTCAGACAGTTAGCACCTCCTACCCAGCAAATGCAGTTTTGTTGCTCATTTATTTTATTTAAAAGGATGTACGTTTTGGACCTAGCTTTAATCATGGGGAAGGCTGCCTTTTTACTTGTATTTTTTTCTGAGTGCATAACACTTGGTGGTACACAGTGTCATCCCTATTGACGAAAGAAGAGCAATTTTGCAAGTGGAGCGGGCCGAGGCCGAGGAATTAGCTCGAGAGCAAGAAGCTCGCAAAGTTGCTGAAGCTGAGGCCAGGGCAGCTGCCGAAGAGGCACGTCAAGCATCCCAGCTTGCAGTTCAATTAGAAGCGGAAGCAAAAAGACTAGCAGCCGAGGAGGCCAGGGCTTCTGTCCTTGCTGCGGAGGCACAGGCAAGAGCAGAGGCTGCTGCTGCGTCAGTGGATGGCTTAACGATCAAAGTTAAGGAAGTGGGGATTGATAATTTCACCAAAGCATTATCAGGACGAGGAATGGGAATAGGATCTTTTGCTTCAAAGGTGGGCACTGTCAAGGGAGGAGAGAAATCCGATTCAAAAGTGTTGAGAAATGCCAAACTTGAAGAACAGATGATCAGTGTGAGTTCTATTGTTGAATCGCCTTCAAATGATTCTCCGCGAAAGCCTGCCTCGAAGTCGCAACGAAACATTTTCGGTAACATTTTCAAGCAGGACACATTCTTTATAGATGATGAGTAGCATAGCGTAGCAGCGATACCTTTCTTACAAGGTGCGAGTTAATTAACCCGAACAAAAGACAAGCTTATTCCATGGATGAGATTCATAAAATCTTGCATGTTATATATCGGGTAGTCGGAATTTCCCAGACCTCTGAAAGTTAAGTAGGTGAGGATAGAAATAATCATCGTGTAAATCATCCAAGAAATTTAGTGGGATGCGTAATTTTGCCACAGTTGTGCTGTTCAGGATTATGCATAGTAAAGAGAAATTATGCGACTGCGTTTGACAAAGATACTATGCTCGGGTCCAATGTTGGATGCTTTAGCAAATTTCGCTTTCGATTTTGGTTATGGAAATATCTCACGTTTTGCTGCAATTAGTTGTGAGTATGTGGGATTTTTTTATCTAATGAGTATATACTGACAAAACGTCACAGAAATGGAATGTGAAATGGGATTGTGGGAAGTAGATGGTTATTGATGCAAAGAAAGTAATTAGAGCGTCTTCATATATTTTTCATCAACTTTTTTCCAAGAGTTGTGTTAATTCTGAACAGTTGCCTGTACGTTCGTTTACAAGTGGACATTGTTTAGGATATTGTGTACTTGATATGGTGTTTAAAATTCTATCGACTGCTAGTGAATGAAAATGGCAATCTTATCGCATGTAGGGACTTGGTAAAGGAGACTCAGTTGTGGAGATAGTGGAGATCACATACTCCATAGCATTCGGCTATGAATTTAAAAAAAGATAATCTTGCTTGGTGTTCAGTTTGGCAGAGAGTCTGCGAGTCGATGTTCATCTAAATATCAATATGAAGTAGTAGTGTCTGTTACAATTATTATTTAATATCAAGCTTTCCGAAGTCGCGGACGCATGTGGCGCAGTCGCAATTATCTTCTCCAACCAATTCTGGATTTGACGCCATCTCCTCTTCGAATAGTCGAAAGATCTCGCTGATGCTCTTCTTGCCTTTAGATTGCCCTCTCACGGAACCAAGAGCATGCTGAAGTCCGTCGCGATCAACAGGAGCTGCAAATGCCAGTCCAGTATAATCAAATCACTCACATAATTTTCCAACTTACTCTTATTTGTTGCATCGTGAAGTTCCAGAAATAATGAATCACAACCCCTACACCAATGGTCAAGGACAATGTCGTTAGAATGTATGGGTTGTGGATTAGCTACATGAGCGTAGTGTTAGAAGCAACTAATTACGTGCAATAGAGGTAACTTCTGAAAAAGCATTAGTCTCCCTCCGCAGTGTCCTCTGACGTCCATTCTCGCTATGAGCGAGGTTGAGGTAATCGGCGAGAAGACCTTTGATGAGGAGATCTGCGACGGTGCGGACCACATACATGCATTGTATTGAAGTGTGGACAACATCCAGTGTCTGGTTAGTTGTCTGCTGTGTTAAGACAGAGCGATCTGCAGGAACAGGAGCTGAACCTGACACAATCCGCTTTGGAAGTTTCTCACGTAGCGACGCCGAGGGTGATCGCGAGGTGACCTGGGCAAGATCGGGACTCTTAGACTGATTTACTGTTGCAGCTAGTCGAGACTTGGACTGTTTCGCTGCATCCTTCGATGTTGCTGATATCGCTGGTTTGTCATTCGACCCGGGATTTCTGTCACCAAACCACTTACGAATTACCCTAATATCTGGTATATTTCGTGTGTCGTCGATCTTGTGTATCCGGAGCCGGTGCAGTATCCAACTCTGCTTCCCTGCATATGATCTCGCCAATCTCCCGCACGGCTCAAGCAGGCAGAGGAAGCGCTCCTTTCCGTCCACCACTCTCAGTCTGAACTCGGAGTAAATGTCAGCGTTCTGCATGTCGACGTCTTCCATGGCCAATTCCGCAGCTGTAGACACGCACTGCAAGATTCAAGCTGGTAACAACAGCAGATAAATCTGATACTTATGTCAGAGTTCGGGTCATTAATAGAGACCTGAGTCCATTGGAAAGGCCGCCAGTCGGTTTGGATCCTCTTGCAGTGGCGACGATCGGTTGCAGCGTGTCGATCTGCCATCCCGACGATCTGATTGCTCCAGGCCAGGAGGGAAGGGGTAGAGTTGTACACAAATGCTCAGTGTACCTGTCCATCGACCCCTCGTTTACGGCATAACGCGTCCGGCAGTCGAACGCGTGCGCATCTTTGAATGCAAATCCTATCGAGATCCATTCTTCGCCTGATTCATTGCCGATCGACATGTCATGTTGGAACATGTCCTGGTTCATGTTAGCTCCGTCTCCGCAGCGAGCTCGGTATCTGGCGGTCGCAAAAGTTGCCGAACTAAGAGGAAGCGATGAATAACGCAAACAAAAATGGAGGCCGGTTATCAGCGGAGCATGCACTGCACTTCCGACATGCCCAATTGTGGAGTCTGCGCACAAGGCCGTTGGAATTGGATTGTCCTCTCATGTTTCCCGGGTGCCGAAGAGTTGACATTTTGCATCGCGGGTTGACAATTTCTATCGAGGGTTGACTTTTAAATCGCGGTTTGACTTTTGGATCCGAGAGGGGATTACGAGGGAATGGGGTGGAGCTTGGCACAAACACGCAGTGGTAATGTTACCGTTGTTTACGGTAGGAATAGGTCTTTTTTTGACGAACGACATCAAATGCATATATTTCTTGATAAAATTGACAAACATAATAAAAGAAACAAAAATGGGAACTTTGATAGGTAATGTGGATTTTTCATAATAACATTGTTTCTATTATTTTGAATAAATAAATAAAGATTATTAAATGTATAATAAAAAATCCAATGTTTTCTTAAAATAATATGTTGGTTAAATATTGTATACGTGCTTTAAATAGATTATTGAGATTTAATGTCTATTATTATCAATAAAAAATATATAAGATTACATAGCTTACAATATTTGTTTGTTTTATAAATCCATGTTTTTTCAATATTTATTAAAAACAAATCAATAAAAATGATGTATTGAAATGTTTGAATCTTATATATATATATATATATATATATATTTGATTATTTATTTATTTATTTTTATTAATTTAAAATATTGATATAATATTTTAAATAATATGTATCATTGTTAAATAATCTAATACAAAGTTATTTCCAACCAATTAATTAAATGCATTAATTATGATTCAATTTATCAAAATAAACAAATAAATAATATTTAAATACTATCATAACTTAGATCAATTTAAATTTTATCTTTGTCAATATCTTAAAATAATACTACTTCACTTCACTTTTGCAACCTCATTATTCTTTTCATTATTTATAATATATTATATACCACCTAAGATAATTCAATGATTTCAATTATTAATCCTAAGGTCTTTCATGTTGTTCAAATATAAAATCAAAATTATCATATAAACATGGTTACATATAATCTTATAAATATATAAAAATAATAATTATGTGGCTTTAATTTTTTAATTTTTTTCTATTCTATTTATTTTTTACTTGTAAAAATTAATATGTATACATTAAATATTTTAATAATTATTTAAAATTTTAAAAAATAAAATTTAATACTTATAATACTCATTCTTAGAAGTATTTATAGCCACATTTGGAAAAAATAATTGAAAAAAACTAGCAAAGACCAAGCCTTTATCTTTGCATTAAGGATCATGGTCAACCACCATATATATTATTGAATTCTAAAATCTTACTTGCGATGTGAATTGGAATAAGAAAGCTTTTATCAATCAATTTTGATATGGATTGAAGGATGATATTATCATGTAGTAACATATCTATTACATGAAAGAAAAGTTATTGCATTTTATTATAGAAGAACCTAATTAAAAAAATATACATAAAAAATATATAAGTAGTAAAAACTTATAGTATTAGAACTATCTTTTATAAAAATAGATTCTACTTATTTTGTATAGCCATAAATAAAGCAAACAAAGTAGATTAGAAAAATAAAGAATATTAGCATATGTAGGAAAAAGTTAAGAATTGATTTTAGCAAAAATTATATCAAGAAAATAAGAATAGATACCTAGAAAGGAGTGGTTGCTAACTTGGATCAAAATCAAACCCCAAGGCATAAAAGTATATGCTTATGGTGACTTTGGAATTCTTTTGTAAATCAAAGAATGAGATTTAAAAGCAAACTTAAGAAAAGATTTTTAAGTATTAATTTCATGTTAATTAGATTAATATTGAAAATTTTAAATTTTTTTAAAATTAATAATATACTCTATGGATTCAAATTTTGAAAAATTAAAATAATTTTATAAATTTCAAGATTTTGTGCATTTTATAGTTTGAGTTAAAAATAAAAATTAGACAATTTATTGTTGTGCTTGTTATAAATATGTATAAAAAATATAAGATCAATTAAGTGGTTAAATTGAAACATATGAAGATTTTTGTGGATTACTATAATGGAGTATGGATAAGATAATTGTATTATTGACAAATAGAGATATATAATTGGAGCCATTTTTGGGAAGTTTTTAAAATTGAGACTAGAATGGTGGTCCATATGGGGATCCATTATGGAATATCCTAGAAGAACTAAAGGTGGTTATCAAGGTAGGATCTACCATTAAAGAAATTTCTAATAAGTTCTAAGATGATTAAACAAAGTATAAAAAGGACTAATTGAGGCCACTTGAGGTATTTGGTCAAGTATGGCTTCAATCTTTTTTTTTAGTATAGTTTGGTTTGTATTTTCTATTTTATTTTGTTCTATTTTCTTTTGCTCTATTTTGTCTTTTATATTCTATTCTATTTAATTCTGTTTTCTTTTATTCTAGTCCATTTTTTCTTACTTAGTGATGGAATTTATGTTACTATAGATTACAAGGATTTTAGGTCTTTAAGATGATTCACTCTTGTTTCATTGGTATTAGAAGAAGTGTTAGTCTATTATTTGATATTAGGTTAATAGCCACTATTTAATTAGAGGTCAGTTGTTGTAGTCACATTGGTTATTGTTTTGACGTTACCACGAGCTACTTTTAAAAAATCAATTGAAAGAATAGAAGGCATTACAATAGCAAAGTTTGGCAAGAAAATTGCAACATCAAAAATATGGCAGAGCCATCCAAGACAAAGACTTAGGTGCAACACTTTTTAGATTAGATAGCTACTCTGGAAAGACAAATGGAAGTTTCTAGAGCAAAGAAGTTGACATTTGCTAGGCTAAAATTAAGCAAGTCCAAAACATATTCTCAAATTTTAAAGTAAGATGTATGCTAGTAGCTCTTTAGTGTACGATAATACCTCCAACTATCAAAGGCAAGTACCACTCAAAGAATTATATATGCAGCTAGCTATTTGAAAAGTGTAGCAACTATTTGGAAGTAATATTAAATTCAAAACTATGGAGCTCAAGGTGGATTTTGTAACTAGAAGGAATTTGAGACCAAACCTGGGAATCAAATTTGGTCTATTAATATGGAGAAGTTAGCATGCAATCAATTTGATAACCTTATGTAATATAGGTCAATGTAAGATTACATCTCCTGATTTAAGTCCCTTTGTCTTTAAATCGGCAACATTTTAAAAGAAGAGATAATAGATTGGTTTGAATGGAAGTTGAAACTTATCATTCAGTAAGAGATGGAATTAAAAGATCCACAAATATTTAAGAAGGCAATTAGAATTGCAAAGACGGCCAATGCTATAAATTTTAAAAACTATAGAGTACAACCTATAGGACAAAATTCTATGCCACTATCTAATACTATGATACAACAACCAAGGCCAATGGAGATTGATGCCTTACAAGGATCATTGACATTACAATGACAACAAATATTGACACAAAAGAAATTATGTAATTATTTTCAAGAGTTAGACTATCAAATCAAAGATTCTTTGAAGCATCAAAATTTAGATATCAATATATTAAGGTAGATTCACAATCTCAAGGCTTATTAAAATGATAAAAAAGTAGAGTAAGGAAATACAACTCTTTAGTAAAAGCATCGAGGGCTGCTATTAGACATAGTTATTATCTCTCAATAATAAATGGCATGATCTTGGACAACTATCAGAAGGATCAACTAGTATGTCTAGCATGTCCACTAAAAAGAAAACTATGTTGAATGCTTATAGATTGTGGCTCTACAAAAAATTATAATTCAATTGAGATTTCCAATTGATTTAAAATTGAAATTAAGGTGATCAAAGGACAAAGTATATATCTATCTAATGACCAAGAGAACGTATTAAGTGAGACATGTAAAGAAGAAACCTTGAAGTTGAATGACACTTATGCCTTAAAAAGAAGTTTAAAGTAACAAAGCTCAGATATGATATCATTCTTCATATGCTATAGCTAGAAGTAAAAAATAAGCAAGTTAATTAGTTAATAAGGATGATTTCTTTCAAAGACAATGGACAAAAGGTGATTCTTTATGCCTCTACATTGGATGAGGTAACAAAATGATATGTGACTAAAAGCTTATTTATAGAAATAACTTTCATGAAGAAATACATACAACATAAGCAATCGATACATATGGTGGTTCCAAATCATGCCTTAGTAGTGAAAAAGATAATTAAAGAAGCAAAAGAAGCAAAGCAAGTCATACATAAATATTGGAATATTTTTTTAATTGACTTGTCTAGTGGCGTGCTACTTGATTAAGGTACCCCTTTTCAAATAGAATTATTGCTTAGAGCCAAACTGACAAGTTGGCCAATTTATTGCCTAACATCAAATAAACTTAAAAAGCTACAAAAGACATTGGAAGAACTCTTGAAGAAGGGCCTTATTCAAGAAAGCACATTACCATGGAAGCATCTATATTTTTAGCACCCAAAAAAGATGGACTTTGGCTTTGTATCAATTATCAAGGCTTCAATAAGCAAACTATCAAGAATATATATTTACTTCTAGACATGGATAATCTTCTTGACG